GTTTTCATTTGATTCTTTTCTAGCAAATTCTGATAAATATAAGTTAGATCAGTGTGTGAAATTATCATCGGCTAGACTAAGGTATTTTAAAATTTTTCGTACCTTACTCCAGTGATTTCATTCTAAACTCGCTTCATTTCAATTTGTTAGAAAAACTTGATGAACCGTTCCACAAAGACAGTCTCTAGCCTGTAAAAAATGATGTGGTAAAAACTTATATTTTATGCAGATTAATTAAAATTCAGGGACACAGTGCGAGAGCGGACAATTGAGAATGTGGTGGCAGCTTATAGAATAATTTACAATAAAATTATTCATCCAAGTAACAAATATTCTCAGACATCAATTAAAACTGTTGAACAGGTAAAGAATTTGTGGTTGTGTGGTAGGACAGCGGGGTAGTTCGTTTGATTTACTCATACGATAAATTCCAATGTTATTGCCTAAATTTTGTTTGTGCAAAGCTATAAAGTATATGAACTTTTTATATAGCTCAAATCTTTAAATTCAGAAAAAAAAGACAAAATATGATGTACAATTCAGTTCTTCAATTTGCACCAAGTTAATTTATCACATTTCATTTTAGGTCCAGGAATTACTGAAAGTATGGACGTAGGACAAGCGGAATTTTATTTCCATATTGGATGAAAAAAGGTTATGAGTACTCAACATTAGGAAATTGTAAACTTCCGCTCTATTAATGCTTTCGTTTGGTATCGTTTAAAAATAGCTTACTACTCATAGTTGGATCACTGCTGCTGTGATATTCTTGTTAAATTTTTTAAATTCCATATTCGACTATTAGAGCACGAAAAGTGCCTGAGTTTTCTCTATGTACCTTTTTAGTGTTATTTTAATGATGTTAGATTTTAAACTTTAAGATTGAAAAAACTGACTATTAAGATTTGCCATTTATTCAGGGTACGAAAATCTTTCAAGAGCATTTTTATAACATATAATCGTTTATTCAACTCTATTCTTAATATGCACAATACGGTGTGATAAACTGGTTGTATGAAATGTGATAAAATTACAATTTATATTTTCTTCTATCTGAACATGTGTATACATATTCATTTATAGCTAATAAAAAAAAATCAATGTCGAGGTAAAATAAATGTCATTATGCTTGCTTTTGATGCAGCTTTACCTACCAAAATCTCCTTAATACATCTTCCATTTTTATTTGATGTTATTATAAATTTAAGAATTGAGACGCAATTAGCACGTGTTTTAAAAAAATTTAACGGGTCAGCAATTACGAATCATTTTGGACCGTGTGAGCCCGTGTTCTTTGTTAGGGCTACATTATATTTGTTGGGAAAATGCATTGACTATAAGAGAAATGTTTCATTTCCAATATATTTTATGCAGCCTTTCAGTTCTTCGTTTTTCGATTTAATTTTTTGTGTGAGATAGTGAAAAGGACACTTGCAGCGAGGAAAGATTAGCAAAAAAAAAACGATTACAGGAACTGATAGTGCTGACATGGACTAATAATGCTGACGTGTAACTAGTAATGCTGACGTGCAACCAGTGAGTGCTGACGTATAACTAGTGAATGCCAACGCGCGATTAGTAAGTGCTGATGTAATGCTGACGTACGACTAGTAATGCTGACTAGTATGTTAGCATCAGTGTTACGAAAAAAGAGAAGTAAAAGGAAAGGGCTGTTATGTTTTGTTTGCTAGCGTATATTTTCATTGGGATTTAGAGTTATTTTTGAAGTATTCGCCTTTTTATTTTTGTTACTTCAGTCATTTTGGTTTGAGAGAGCATACAACTAAATATCATGATGAATGCTACAAATTTCCATTGAAGACAGTGCCTGACAACATCTCATATAGTTCATGCGCTGATTTTTTACTGTTTAATTTTAGTTAATCAATATGAAGTTCGATTCTTAGCTTACCTCAAACTTCTAGCGATGTGTTTTCTTCATTCTCAGATATGATTGCTACGTGAAATTAACAATTTTAGATATTGACTGATCAGAAATGTTTTTTTATCATAATCGTCGAAGACAAAATAATTATGGAATATATTTGCTGGCATATCATTTGTTCAATTCACGTAACATTCCACCAGTCACTCTAATTATTATAATATTTCAAATGGCGATTTTTCTAGGTTATATTCCAGCCCTTAATCAGCATAAAACAGGTATATTAGTTTGTTCTTGAAAATTGATGTTATCGACATTTTATAAATTTTTCATTTTTTCAAGTGCAAATTTGAGGTTGATTTCGTTTTCTGACTTTTAGATATAAATTACATCAATACCTTTTTGTAAATTATCAATACCTTTTTTTCTAGAAAACAATATCAAAAATTACATTGAATACATAAGTGTAAAAAAAGTATAGCTGTATGTTGTAAGAGTAGAAGTGAATGAACGATAGAGATAGGAAGTTTCAGTAATGAATAATCTTTACAATAACTGCTTTGCCAAAGAAATTTAATTTTGAAAAATATAAGTACCATATAATAATTATATTATTTTATAATTCAATTATCTTAACTGATTTGTTATATTTTAAGAAGCTTATAATTTTATTATTCAAAACATCAATAATTTTCAGAAGCAATGTGTCTTCTGCCATCACGTATATTATATCGATCTGAGTGGTTGCGAATGCTTGCATCCACAGTTATGCATGTTGACGATATGCATCTTTATTTTAATATGATCTCATTACTGTGGAAGGTAATTTTTCGCTGTTGAAAGATAAAAATCATTTTATGGATTCGTGATATATTAATTTGATTAGTAAACAAGCATTAGTTCAAAAAAGGTAAAAAAAAAGGTTATTTTTCCGCAACAGTTGAGCGAATTGGGTACAAATTTCGATGTGTTCAAAGTTGTTATACTAAATTTATTTTTGTTATATATTGTGGTTCATATATCTAAAAGAGATTTACATTATTAATCGTTCCACTTTATCTGCTCATCGCTGTTGGATTAAATTTAAATGTCAAACTGAATACACATTCAATGAATCATTTTTATGATTACATACATAAAAGTACTTTATTATGAGTACTATTTTTCTTCTTCGATACATTTCTCTTTGAAGATTTTTAATACAGATTTGTTATGCTGTTATCAACATTTAGTAGGATATCTTTTACCAATTTGTTACATAATACATTTACTGTGTCACAGTTATTTTAGGGTCGACGTTTGGAGCCTTGGTTAGGTTCGAGACGTTTTCTATTACTTCTGATAATATTTGCCTTAGCAACAAGCAGTACTATAATTGGATTAAGCTATTTAGCCGATGAAATATTCATTTTTAATGGTGCTGATTATATGAATCAGTGCGCTGTTGGTTTTTCCGGTTAGCTGATTGATTTTGTTTGCGATTTTAAAATTGCTTTAAATGACATTTGTTACGGCACAAAGTCTGTCCTCTCAAATTATCTCTATGTGTTCACTTTTTATTGTCTAAATTTTGGAAAGAAAGTCGTTTCAAAATTATTTTAGACATCATTTTTTGCAGGTGTGCTTTTTGCTTTGAAGGTATTGCATACAACATATTTTCCTTATTCGGACCATAATTTATTTGGTTGGCTTCCTGTATCATCACAGTTTGCCTGTTGGGCAGAGTTGTTTCTTCTGCAAGTTGGTTAAATGTCTATTCATCATAATTTTAAATATCTATTCCTTATAGTAAGAGGCTTTAGAACAACTATTAATTACTAAAATTATTTAAGGTTTTAATTATTTTTAATATTTCCATGCTAATGTGGCTACCATTTTAAATGTTATATTACCGGTTTTATTTGTAATGAGGAGTTAAATTGTGATATAGTTTCTTTAATTTATTCGGGTTTTTAAAAAATGAGTTCTCAAAAAATTTCTTCTGTCAAATAAAAATTTTATACCATTCACTGCAGTGAGAACATTAGCAACTAATGTAGTACACTGAATACTCGAGCAATCCTGCTGATAAAACATAAATTTAATTCCATATAAGGTTATGTAGGACCAATATTTTACAAATCAGCTTCAAAATTATTTTAAGCATCAAATCGGTGCATATTTCATTTCTTTTGAGACCAGCGAAATTCAAATTCCATTTTCTTTTTTTAGATGTTAACTCCCAATGTATCATTTATCGGTCACCTTTCGGGCATCATTGTTGGTTTAGCGTACACAATGGGTCCATTAAAAACAGTTGTTGATATTGTAGAAAGCATTGCTTCTCAATTACTTGGTCAGTTTCTTTTTCTTGCATTTCTGATACCATTTGATCTAAAAAATCAAAATTTTTTATTGTCATTGTTTATACTCTAAAACACTGCAGTGTAGAATTTAAATTCAATCTCTATTGCGAATAACGACCTAAATTGTATTTCATGAGTATATAATATACTGTATTTTGGATAATTCCAGGTATTATACCGGAATCACCTGCACAGACGAGGGATAGAGTACGGTCAAATAATCGAAATTGGTTCACTAACTGGGGCTTTAGTGGTGAAAACGGTGCTGCCCATGAAACTCCTTCATATAGATGGCGAAACGAACAAAGTTAATATGTCATTTTGATATCTATTATTGTAAGGCATACGGGACTCAATATACTGTATTAGATTAATATTTTATGCATTACTTTGATTTATTATTTTGAACTGCTTTTTATCCTTCATGATGATTATGTTAATAATCATGTTACTATTACTGGATTTCTCGGAATAACCCTCCATTTTCTACTGTCCAGTGGAAGGAGCTAAGTTGAATTATTATCAGACTTTAAAACTTTTTCTGGAGCTTTAGAAATGTTTGATGAGCTTTTTTTTGATATTTCTTGAATTAATGTTATCATTATATTTAAATTTTCAGGACGTTTTGACGAGTACACGGGTGGTATGTCGGAAGAAGAGCAGATGTGGAGAGCTACACAAAGAAGTTTGTATGAAGATGGTTGGCATTCGTCCTTTTTTTGAACAATATCGATCTTGAATTATCCTGTTTTAGAGCTTTACTCAGAGTTTTTGTTGCTTATATTCTGAAACTGATATATAAAATGAAGCAGAAATGATTACTTTCAATTTTTTAATCTACAATTTGATTAAGGTTTGGAAATCTAACGCGCTCATAATTCGAAAAATAGTTTTTCTTGCTTAACTAAATAAGTGTAACTTTTTCTTATAAGGAAAATTGTGTATATGTAAGATTGACGCTATTGCTGTTTCGGATCATTATATAATTATGTCTTTTTTCTGCATTTTTTAATTTCAAAAGCTACAATTTTGTGTCATAAAATTAATGCTTTGAAAGAATTGAAAATGATCAAAATAGGGAAAGAATGGTTATAATCTGCTGATCAAAATAGAAGAATTTTTTTTGCCTGGATCAATTATATGATTTTTGTCTAATTTTGTATGCCTAAGCATGATGTATAAAATCATATGTCACTTATTTGTGCTTCATTCATAATTCTAAGGACGAACCAAAAAATTAGAATTCGTCATGGAATTATTTTCATGAAATTTCATTTTGGATGAATAATTGTTGGTTCATGAATAGTACCGTGCGGTGGGATCAAAAATATTCGGAATGTACTACTACTATGATGGAATTGGTTATTATTATCATTATGTTCCATACACTGGCGGATTACTCTTCATGATAATGATTCTTCTTATCTGTTGTTGCTGCATGTTAAGCGCAACTGAAATTCCTCCATATGGATATTATTATGATTGCACGTGTTGTGGACCGTGCATTCACTGTCGCCCTTTTCATCGTCATCAACATCATCTAAATTCCGTTGTTATCGTATAATTATCAGGTATAGATCCATTTCCTATTTAATTTAAGAAGTAATAAGGAGAGAGATAATTGAATACTTTCCTTTTAAGGAAAATAAAAAGTAGTGTATTCGTGTGGTATTGAAATTGAAAAAAAAATTAAGACTAGCGCAAGTGGTACCGATACTGAGTGATTGAAATAAAATCAATTTACTGAAAGTAGCAAATAATTTTCTACTCCCTTTAATCAAAAAAAAAAAGTTTAAAAATGCAAAAATTTTGAAAATAAACATTTTATAGATATACAAAAGGAGAAATAATTATTCGTCGAATTCAACTCATAGAGGAACAAAAAAGTTTCAAAATCTAATTTCATAATTTATGAATGAATGCAGTAAATTTTACTTGCAATTAATCGTTTTTATTTACCTTCTGCAATCATACAGAATTACGATAAACTGTCTCACCTAAACTGTGATTATCTCATTTTTTAAAAGTATTCATATAGTAGTGTTATGCTTTTTTTTTTTTTAAATAAGAGAAAAAATATGTAATTTGATTTTTTGCTTTAATGAATTGATAAATAAAGATTTCTTTCTGGACAAAAGATAAATAACATTCATCGATATGTCTATTTTTAAAAATTCTTTCAATGCATCCATCAATTCGCTCTCTTCCTGTACTTTAATCAATGAAGTTGTTATTGCTATCATTTATTGAACATGTGAAATTGTGATTGCAATTCAGATGATAAGTATGCATTGGAAAAATTTGTGTCAAGAAGTCAATCATTGAGGAGTAAATAATTTTAATGCAGTAAATTCAAAAAATCATTCGAGGCGTTATTCATATCATTTACCATCCTTTTTTTTTCCCTTCCTCTGACTGATAAAGATATTATTAGAGAGCTCTCAACAAAATACTGATTTAATCATTGATTTATTACTGAACTGATCAAATAATCAATGCTTCACTTTTCATAAAATATTAACCGAATTCGATTCTAAAAATAATTTAGCAATCAATTGAGTTAAATTAACAAATTTTAGCGTAAAACTTAAAATGACGGAGTAAGATAGTATGAATATTTTAAACAGAGAAAAAAGAAAAATAAAAAAATATATTTTGTTAAAATGAAAGAGTGATCAGAGAGAATTTGTCTGTTCATTTTGTGACAAATTAAATGAGACAACTTTTGGCTTTTTTTCCGGTGATTTACAACATCATCTGTCATTTATTTATGGCGGTGAGCATTCCTGAAAAATCACAATCACGATGATGTCTGACCAATTCATTAACAAATCAATGATCAAATCAGTGATAAGAGCATGTATACATTGCGTGATGAAAAGAAAAAAAAGGCAATTCATTCCAAAATTTCATCATATCACTTGCTCTCCATCATTTTATATTTTTTTAATTTAAAAAATTTTGATTTTTTTTGTTTTTATATTTCAAATCATTTGCATTTTTTTTTAGCTATTCGTTAAAAAAAATACTTTTTTCTATCTCATAATTGTGTATTTGTTAGATCATTGATAATAATTTGGCCAAATTTATTGAGGGGGACGAAATTGCCATCATTTATCACTTCCATTAGATTCATGATTTTCTGGTTTAGAAGGACATTTTTTTTTGCAATTCAACCAGTCAGTATTGTTCGATCTTATCATTATCTTTTACATGTTTCTTTTTTTCATTTGTTATTGATAAAGATTGAAACTTTCAAATTGAACAACAAATTTTTTATTTTAATTTGTTATTATACAATTAAAGTATCTAAACCATTCATTAATTTTCTAATAGTTCAATAAGAGGAAGGAGAAAAAAAGTGAAAATTCGAAGTTAAACTATGAAAATACTGAAACAGAGAAAATTATCAATATCAGTTTAGCGTGTTTGAATTCATTTAAGACTTTCCTTCAATTTTCATCAATAAATTATATTGACAGATTAGCTTTAGTGCAAAAGCCTGACAAATACAAACTGAATTTACTGTAGAAATCTTACTGTATAACAAATGCATGCTGATTTACTGTAGAAGTTTTACAACAATAAGCACATGCCGAATTTACTAGCAACCTTACAAAGTAACAAACGGGAAGCCTTACAGTGTCATGTGAATTTATTTGCAAAAGCCTAACAATTACATACCAAACAATTGAATTGTTTGATACGGTCACCGGCCTGAATCATCACAATTGTGATGCTTTTGATCAGAGAAATTTAATTAATTCATGAAAATAGATGTCGTATCCGTTGATGAAAATGTTTGTTTAAAAGTATTTTATCGATGATTTCATAAAGTTTTACTCATAAATGATGGATTACCGCGATTACTCAACAAATTAGTGCAAATTTAATACAACATCAAATACCTATTATTTAATTACAATAAAAATTTCAATTATAAACTAATTAAAAAGTACGGCATACCCATAATTATTAAAATTATGGTTTAACTACAACAATTAAAACCATAAACTAACTGCAACAATTAAAATTTCAGCCAATTAATGGATAAAGGAATCATTTTATTTCCTTTCTCAAAAAAAAAGCCTTTACTAATGATTCAATCATCATATCTCTTCTGATATGATTGATAAGATAAATTATCACAATAGAATGTAAAAAGTAACAAGATAGCAGTGGAGAAAATGAAAAACAAAAATTAAAAAAATGAAAATTTTAATCAAAATTGTTTGATTTAGGGCAAAAAAAAATCAAAATTTAAATTATTTTCCCATATTTACTTGCATTGTTCATATTTCCATGCAAATTTTTTATCTTTTAAAATAAGAATATCTCGTCATTTTATCCTTTTAATTCCTGTTTGTTGCTGATGCGATACTTTACAAACTTTCATCTCTCCCGTGCTACCACCTGCCGTTATGAGTAATACCAACGGTCATCCTTTATATCTATTCCTATCCATTTCAAAATTGAAATTTAATTGTTCGTGTTTTAGATAGATGAAGAGATAAAATGATTGATTTGATTACTTGACTATGTGTCAACTTCGACCCTTTTTTCTGCTCTCCCAAATAATGAATAGAAGAAAGAGAGAAAGAGAGAAAGAGAAAGAGAGAGAGAGAGACGGAGAGAGAAAGATTGTTTATTAGAAGTTCAAGTATAATAAAGTATTAGACGTTTATTGGGAAATGTGCTGTAGTGATGATGATTAGCCTCTTTGAAGTACTAACCGATCGATTAGAAGCAGTGGCAGGAAGAGGAAAGTACTGCTACTATTTGGCTATATGGCTTGCTTGCATAAGCTTGCATAAGCTGGTTGTTACCATCTATTAACTCATTCATGGATATCATCATTTTTTCCTTTCCCGATCTACTGATCTATTCCGATCATTCCGATTTCAGAAATATGTTGCATATCAGAATGTTACATTTAACAGGAAATGACTATCACTAATTTACAAAAATGGTCAGTCAGTACAACTGGAAATGGAAATAAATTAAGAGCTATTTTTGTTAAATGTAATATTCAGATATGTAAATTACAATTTTTTTTTTAACTGATTGCCTATTATATTTTATCGAACGAAATTTTATTTTATTTTTTATTGTAAAAAAAAAACGGTAAAAAAAAACGAAGTGTATTGTAAAGAACATGTAAAAAAAGAAATGATAAGATGATGATAAGTGTATCAAATTTTATTTAGATTATTTTCACACTTCACTTATTGTTGTAATTTATCATTTTATTATCATTTTACAATATTCATTTATTTTTTTCATCTCATTCACATAATATTTGCAAAATTTGATATCACTGGCAGTATAATTGATAAGATAATGATAAATTGCAACAAATTTATCAGACACTATCAACTGATTTTTTTTGATTTCATTAGATTTCAATTCGATAAATTTTGTTTTATTTAGCTCTTGAAAGTAAAAAAAAAATTGATATTATCGTTTCGTTTTTTTTTTGCTTTTTTTTCGATAATGACATTTAAAAGGGATATTGCGAAGAATGCAAATAAACGATATGGCTGAACATGCCGAAACATTTTTAATTCAATCCTCCATTTTTTTATTTCACACGATAAATTTTTCTTCCTCATCAAAATTCATTCCATTCATTTATAAATAGCACAATTCATTTTCTGTTTGCTTTTTTCACATTTTGGAATTGTCATTGTAAATTTTCATCATTTTATCTGTTGAGAATTTGATTTATTTTGGATAATTATCTTATCTTTATCACCTCACTAGTTGAATGGCATTAAGTTTTTCCATTCATTATCTGTAACTTTTTCCACGAATAAGAAAATCTTTTTTTTTTCTTCTTTTTAAATTTCAGAAACTTTATACTATCAGATAATTTCATTCATATTTCTGTTATGAATTTTTTTAACTATCATTTTCACTGATAATTTTATTGATATTTCGTTTGAAATTTAATTTCCAATCATTAAATGAACGAAAGAAAAAGTGACTGCTTGTAGTTTTTCAGTGTCAATTGCTCTTCATAAAACATCGAAAGTTAAATGACTTCTTTTTTTTTTTTGAGAGTTGAGAAGGATGAAAAAGATCATTTTGCTAACATTTCTACCATCCATTCTTCTATTTTTTTTCTCATTCTTCTCACTTTTTCTAATGTTTACCTCTAACATCATTACTTTAATCTTTAGCGTAAATTGATTAGCTTCAATTTCTCATTCCTCTTTTTACTTTAAAATTCAAGCTTCTTTTATATTTTGATTAATGTATGTGTAATGGCTTCATTTTCTAAACAATTCGATTTATCAATATAAATATAAATATATATATAGCACTAATACTGTATAATACATTTTTAGTTACAGCATTTCAGAAGCTTATTCTATATTTGTTATTCTAAATTTTTCTTTTTTAAATAAGCGATTCTTTTTTTTTAAAATAAAATGATCGTGCATTTCATTTTATATTGGAAATTGTCAGGTGAAAAGATTAAGTTATTCCTGTTGATGCATTAGTATTTGTTCATCACAACAGTTTTTTATGAATGATAGACATATTTGCATTGAAATCATTTTCGTTGATAATTCTTGCAACTTTGATAATTATCTCAATTTAAAATAATTTTTGATTCATTTTCTATTTTTTTTATTTTTTACTGCTATTTTATCTTCTCTCTCTTCTTTTAGCTATCTCTTTTTCTTGTCTTTAAATAGACATAATTGATTGTTAAAATTCAGAAGTCAATTCGAAAAATTTTTTTTGCTCATTATCTAATTGTTTAAAACCCAACTCATGTAAAATGGATCGTATCGTTTGATTGATATTTGCTGATAGTTCTTTTTTGCTAATAGACAAAATCTCTGCAAAATATCATTTTGTCGCTTTTTGTCAAAAAAAATTTTACTACCCTTATATCTACTAGTTTATTCTGTAAAAAAAAAATATATTATGAGAAAAAAAAGGCGTAAGCAAAAATATCCACAGATCAGAAGTCATTTGAATATAGCATAAAATTATATTCAATTGGGATTTTTTGAATTAATATAGCATAAAAAATTGGCAAAATTTTAATATGTTATCACACAATAATAGGATTATCTCAGAGAGAGAGGGAGAGAGAGAAAGAGAGAGGGAGAGAGAGAGTAAAAAAATATGAGGTATTTTTTTTGTTTGCTTAAATATTATTTAATAAAAAAATGTAAACAGCCGAAGTTCTTCGTAGTTTCTTCTCATTTTACCTATCATTCTTATATTTTCGAAAAATTTATAGAACTTCCAGAAATTCTAATTTTATCATTCATTGATTGCTTCCTTATCAATATCGATATAAAATGAATAACTTTCTAGTTAATCTGCATATCAATTCAATCTTACGTGATCATCAACTGAGGTGATTCATGCCATTATTTTCCCTATGAACAATTATTTCTCACAATTATTTATACTATTTTAAATTTCATACTTCAAATTTTTGCCGAACTTTTTTGCACGAAAAAAGAGTACCTTAAGTTTTTTCTTGCCACTGTATTGAATTTAATCTTTTCCAATTTCCATGTATTACAAATCATTTGTTTGTCTAATTTGTACGAATAAATTTGAGTATGTGGAAAATTTTCTATAATTGCTTCATTTTTATGAATGTATGATATAAAATGATGAATTTACCTGAATTCACAAATTCAATCTGATCCATATTCGTTTAATTCGAAGAGAAAAGTATGAATTTGGAATATTAATTAAATTAAATATTTCATTTTATGTTTTCTTTTCCATTTAATACCTTATATTTTAGCATTATTTTAAAATATTACTTTACTGCTCAATCCATAAATGTTATTTTTTTGGTATGTAAATGTGTAAATTATTTTAAATAATTTATAAATGTTGTGAGTAATTGATGTATGTAAAGTATTACATTCCTTCACTCAAATCACCCATTATCAATTCAGCTTATTTCCAGATAACGGTTCTTTGGTGCAAAATGCTTTAGTGATATGCGATTAGTTATAGTGACGTTACGGAAACGTGGTTCAGTGGCCATCAAATGACGTTTGAAAAAATGGTAAATTCATTTGTTCCGATATCTTTACTATTAATAGCATGACCTTAATGTTACATTAGCCGATGTTAAATAATTCAAAGTGAATTTGTAAAATTCTTTTTTTTTTAAATACAAAAACTTTACTCATCTCATTTATTGTTGAAATAGAAAATAAGTATATAAACCTGAATGATTTTTCCTGTCGTACAATCATTCTTGGAAAGGAAAAAAAAAGAAGATAAACATTGCTGAAAGAGAGGTGTGCAAGTGATTTTTATGGCAGTCATTGAAATAACAAAAGTTATAAAATGCGAATGAGATTTGTTCAGAATTTTTGATCTTTGATGTGCGATGAAGTGTTATTCGTTTCATTTATTTCAATAAATGTTAATTTAAAAAAAAAAAAAAACTAATTGCAAGAAGGAGCAAAATTTTTTGATGTATAATTTAAAGCGCTGAATGATTGTCAATTTGCGCACCATTATACTTCATTTCATTTTGATATGATTAGAACTGATGAAAACAATAATACCGTGAAATGTAAATTGTCTTTTTTATATATATGTGTGTGCCTGTGTGTGTGTGTGTGTGTGTGTGTGTGTGTGTGTGTGTGTGTGTGTGTGTGTGTGTGTGTGTGTATGAATGGGTTGGTACATATATGTAGGCAGTCTGTGTACAATTAACTGGGCTGTTTCATATCTTTTTTCTGATATTTGTTGTTCATAATGCACTTTTCGTCTAAAATACTGCCTTATTTGATTTGAAAAATTTTTACTAAATATTACATCTTAACATTTACCTAAAGTATTTGGTTAATTTGATTTAACCTAACCTAATCAAAACATAATATTGCTGTATTAGTGGAATTAACTTTATACTTCAGAATATTGAATCAAAATTATACTTGACTATTTGTGGATTATTTTTTTTTTCAAAAATTATAATTCTTATAATGGCTAAGAATGATTCTAAAGATGATTCGCTATCATCTGAAATATCTGTATTCTCTACCACTAAAAAAAATGATTGTTCATCAGCTATATGTGCAACTGTACCTGTACCAATAACCACTATTGCTAATTATCCTAATAATAAAGTATGCATTCTCCAGCCGACCACTTTATTGACCCACGGTGCATTACCTTTAATTGGCGATAAGAAGAATGATAATGATAGTACGATTGTTAATGGTATGCAACAACAATCTAACAAATCGTTTATTGAAAAATCTTGTGATCTAAAGAAATCAGAAGTAAAATGTGGTTTTTGCAATCGAACACGTTACGTTATACTTCTTATATCGGTTCTAAGTTTAACCGCTACACGTGGAAATGAGATGACCTTTAATTTAGCAGTTATATGCATGACATCAAATGCTACTGTTGAAGGGGTTAGATTTTTAATTTTTAATTTTCCCATTAAAATTTTTGCGCACTTTTTTAATCATTTTTTTTTCTATATGTATAAATTTGGTAGTGATTTAGATGAGGATTTAAATAGTTTTGAATTTTAAAATTTTTATCATAAACAAAAACAGTTTTCAAACTTTTTAAAGTTATTCTCGATTTTGATAAATTAAAAAAAAAATACTTGAAGGTGGAATCAGTGGAAATATCATCTCGAGAAACGAGTACGATATTTGCGGGAGGTGGTATAGGTGCGGTAATATTCGTTTTACCAATCGCTTATGCACTTCATTATTTCGGATTACAGATTGGTTTTAGCATTCTTCTTCTTCTTTCCTCATTTGGTACAGCATTAATGCCAGTTGCTGCACATAATGGTGTTCCGTGGATGGTATGCGTCCGTGTTATGCAAGGTATCTTCACGTTTATGTCACTTCGCATTATGGCTAAAATCAAAAATGCTTTCTTTAAAAATAGAATTACTATTGTTAATTTTTGATCAAATATCAATCAGCAATTAATAAATTTGTTATTAATGAATAATTTTAAAGAAAAAAAAGAAGAAAAGAAATTATGATAATGCAAAAAAAAAAACTTATAATGGTATGGTTGACGAACAATTCATAAAGTTATTTGATATTAAAATATTTCAATAATACTTCATAAATTTTTTTTCCTTTTTATTGATTTTGATAGTTTTCAAAAATTATAGGTATTGCTTTGGCTTCTGTTATGCCATTGATAGGTTGTATTAGCGCAAATTGGGCTCCTATGGCAGAAATTGGTAAATGCTTAACTTTCTCATTCTTAACGCTTATCTATTCCATTATAACCCTAATATTCATTTTACGTATCATTCGCCTTTCCTTTTG